CGCGTGTTGAGCTTCATGCACCCGTTGCTTCGCATGTCTCTGTGATCGTCGAGTGTTGAGCCAGCGGGCGCTTGTATGCATGGGGCTCCGGCGCCGTTAGCGACTAGCCCGCATCTGCCTCACCGCAGACCGACTTAATATAATCTTGGCTGCCTCGCAAAGATGTTCAGGGACTGCCTCGCCAGCTGGAAATAGTTGCAGGCCCTGTATCCATCCCGGTACCTGTCACTTGTCATCTATCTGCCATTCTGCTCGACCTCGTGTTTCTGTTTGCTGACTCTGCCTGGCGCGTTACAGACCGCTGCAACGCGTGGACAGGCAAGATGAAGATAACTGGCGCCTACGCATGCTGTGCTGCTTCACTGGTTCTGCGCCTGTTCTCACGCACACTGTCTCACTTCAGCCGCCTCACTGCTCGTCACTCGCGCCCCACCGGCACCGTATCATGGGAACTTGAACAGATCACCACTACAATACACAGTAGAAACTCTACTAGAGAGCAACAAGAATTTATTATTCATGCTAGTCTAGAATATACATGTATATCAATGCCATGTTTTAACTTGCTTTATTCGTAGTACACATGTTCGGCTCCTCTTGTATGAGCCCGTAACCGCCCCGATGCGCATAAGCCGGCCGTCTGATAAGGCGTCCTCATGCCACCGGCTCGGCACCCCTTTTGCGCTGTTTCTCATAAGGTAGACGGGGATGAATGGGTTGACTGTCATGCCGTGACCTGGGCGCGCAGTGGCCAGCAGCTGGCAGCGCCGTGTGGTTGAAACAAAAGGCATGCAAACGAGCGGAACATCGCCGTCACTGACAGCTGTCGCTACCGCGCTCAACGTGCGCTAGAAGTGACGACTACTAAACCAAACAAACATAATTACCGCCAGTCCGCGCTCATCGTGCCCCCAATCCTATGCCCCCCAATCCTCTGCTCCTGAAGATCCTCTGCCTGTCCTGAAGATCCTGCCCGTCTGCCCCTCGGCTGGGGTCGACTGCAAATAGACGTGATGACGTCCTGCTATTCCCAGGCCTGCGTATGACGCAGCAGTCGCCCTGCACCCAGCCTGCGGTGCGGCACGTCGACGGCACTGCACGTAGAACATGGCCTTTCACAGCCAGTCAAACCCCCTTCAAGACACGCTTGTCCGACCTGCTGCTTGTTGCCCTCCTCACACTCCCTCTGCCCAGGGTATCGCTGCCTTAGAAAACGAAAAGCCCGCAATCCACCGGGCTGAGCCGTGTTTGTCACCACAGCCTTTCTGCCAACATCTTCTTTCTTCCGTGCCCACATCTCCATTTTGCTAGTCTTCTCCAGCAACCTGTCACTGTCGCGCGTGCATGGGAATTCTGCAATAGCAGCAGCACCTATTCGCTGCGCTCCACAAACGGTCGCCTACTCGACAACTCCCACCTCGCAACGTCATACTGCAGGTGCTCCCGAGCGCCTGCCATTGGGCTCCAGCATGGCCTACCGCGACCAACCCGACCCTCACCACGCTTCCTACGTATCGCCCTTTGACAAACAATACTACGACCGCGGGAGAAGCCCGGACTACGGCACGAGACCCAAGTCTCGCACTGGCACCAATGCCTCCGACTCTCAGCCTCGTGACCCCAGTCCTGCCTGGGACCGCCGCAGTTTCGACAGTGGCTCGCAGCCCATCCAGCAGCCACTGAAGAATGCCATCGGACATGCCTTTGACAAGTCTGATGCTGCGCGGGTTGTCGACCCAGACCTCATTGCTCAGATTACGGAGCAAGTGAAGAGGTCCGTCTTGGACGAGATCAAATCAAGCGGCATGGCTGGTACTACACAAGCACAGAACATACCCGTCTCCCCGCAGCAATGGGTCCCGCCCTCGCCAGTGTCGACATCCAACTCGATTCCGCCTCGAGACGTGTACACCCCACCATCCCCAAAGCGCACCGACTTTTCAAGCCAGCAGTCTCCCGAGCGCGACCCCTTGTATCGCGACCCACTGCTGGATGGCAATAGCGACCTGCCTACCCCGCGCACTGAGCGAAGCGCACCAGTAGAGCGAGAACGGCCATCGGCGCGACCAGGCCCCGCGCCCAGGATGATGACCGAAGACTATACTCCGATCGAGAAGATGTGGCAGCGACTGTTCGAGCCAGACGGCCAGCCTCTGCCGCGTCTTGGCCAGCTCTTGCGTGGACTGGCTCTGCACCTGGTGCGTATCCCTGACTATGAGAGAAATCATGGGCTAACGACGATGTAGATTGAAGACTACGAACCCAAGCACAGTCTAGTCATCTCTCCAGCCAAGATGCTCAAGTTCTATGAGGAGGTCAAGCTCAAAGATGAAATCTATCCATGGCAAAGTAAGCAGGCGCATGTTCATTCTCTCAACACATGCTAATATATGCAGCCATCTTCGGGGACCTCTCGTATTCTGCTCTTTCCAAAGTATATCGCGACATGCGATGCCAGCACCATCTCATCCAAGAGCATCCCGCAGAAGCGCCTTACATCCCTGCGCTTACTCCCGAAGGCTTCCAGGAATGGATGACGACCATGATCCAGGCATATCCCGACACCGAGTACGAACGATTAGTAAAGGCCATCTTGGACATGCCGATCAGCAACGCAGACGATCGGAAGGAACGGTTCCCGAAAGAACTTCCTCGTAGGATGTTCCCGACCATCGAGAACCTACACGCGCAGCAAAGATGCGCCGCAGCCTTGTCCGCTGAGGGTGTTGGGCCGCTTCGTAGGGCACCTACCTTCCCACCGCCGCCGCCCAAGACCCAAGCCCCTCCCCCAGGACCCAGTCTCGAACGCGAACGTAGTCCATATTCCTCGAGGCCCGAAGTGAGGCCAATGGACTTTGAAGATGAACCCATGTCTACATCCGTACCTATCGAGCGGGAGCGCAAGCCTTACTCGGCCGCTCCTGGTGGCGGAAAATCCTATACCGAAGACATGAGCTCCAGCACCTACTCTGATACTTCCGCGAACGAGAAGCGTCGACGCGCGCAATCGAATGCCGGTCAGGGACCGTGGGGCGCTCCGCCTATGGACTCCCACTATCACCAACAGCCACCTCCCCCTCGTGGCCCGAATGTCCGGCCGCGGAGCCCAAGCTTCTCCAACTTCGGCACTCAGTCTGATCCCACGGTGCGCGACATTCCCAGCAACTACTACGCTTCCAACATGCACAATCCCGCAGATGATCCCCATCGCCGCCGCGAGTCTGACAACAAGAGGCACACCCGCCAACGAAGCGGTACCAACGGCATGGGTGCATCTTTTGACTCTCAGGCCCGATCCGTGTACGACGACGACGATTACTCGAGATCGAGGTGGAACTAAAGGAATTGAGAAAAGATGCCGCGACTACACCTGTCGCTACTAGTCAGTCATCTCGTTAGATGACGGGCTCGCATTGCGCCTACCAAATTTATGACCTTACGACATATACCCCGAGTTTCCCGGTCGCTGCAGCTATTTCCTTTCTGCTTTCGGTGTATATCTGGTTTAGTCAGAACTCATATTGTCTGTTGTCTGTACTGGTTTCGTCACATACCCTGTTTTGCTGTTACGATTTCCTTGTCTGGTTATCTTGTCGAAAAGGACGGTCGCTGTACAATGCTACGCGGATATCTTGGAGAGACCCCGGAACGTGTTCTTGCTGTTACGCTTGTGCAATGCAACGTCACCAAATCCAAACATGAAAGGCATAGCCACGTTTGAATGAATCTAAAGTCGAATGTCATGTGAAAAGCATGCCTCTCAACGTGTATTACTCTTCTTCCCCATATCCTTTCGGCTTCTGCATTACGATTCCATTGGAAAACATCTTTTCTCATCACCACTTCATTTCGCCCTTGTCATTCACGCATCACTTGACCTCCTCGTCCTTCTTGACACGACTCTCGTTCTTCTTCGCCAGTTTCCCAACCCATCGACAAATCCCCACACCCATCTTCACCGCCTTTGCCCGATGTGTCTTTGCCAGCCTGGCTTCTTCTTCCTTATCCAGATCAGACATGGACTTCAGCTGCTCCTGCGACAATATTCCTGTGAAGTCCTCGGCTGGTTGTTTTGAGGTTGAAGGCCGCGACATGGTTTGAGTTGGATAGGTGCTGGGTTGGGTTGAGTGGGTGGAGTGAGATGAGCGGGTTGAATGGGTGCTGTGCTTATAAGATGACGGGTATCGTGGTATCGGGCCGCGGTGTGGTGTCGCGCCGAATTGGATGTGAGATTGTGATTGTGATGTGCGTGCGGCCGTTGGAGGAGATGGCATGTTGTTGGTGGTGGTGTTTGACGACATGTTTTGTGCTTGGAATGTGTGCTTTGTTGCGATGGCTAGCTGAACAGTCTTCTCTTTTGGGATGGTTGTCGTTTTATAGCAAACAATGTAAAGTAGAGAATGAGGACAAGGGAAATTCATTTCAGATGGAGGTTGACACACTACTGGATATTAGTTGTGTGAAAGTAACTATGCTGCGCATATACACTGCTGACTTTGTTGTGAAAGTAAAAGGCCTTTGTGACTGGTTGCTTGGTTTGGTGGGTGGAAGTACGCATGAGTCACCGTGATTGAACCATGCCACGAAGACACTATTTGGGGTGATGGGAATTTTCGGCAAAGCTCCGTTTTATTTTATGACACGGATGAACTCTGGTTGGTAACTACACGATATTGACGGATGTCCAAGTATGAAAGACAACGCAACTCCGCTGACTACAACGCCTCAGTTTTAGGGTTTCTACATATGCGAACGCTACCTAGGCTGACTAGAGCTTGTAGTCTCTCCCGGAACTCCATGAAATTATCAACCCCGAGGTATTCGCTCTGTTCTTCTTACAACTGCCGTCTCGTATCTCCATGCTGTCGTAATCTTGCCATCTTTTTAGTCTTGGAGAAGACTGTGGAAGATGTAATGTCCTGATCCAACGCAGTTTGGATATGTGACTTAAATTTGAATGGTTTGCACATCCACTACCGCAGGCGTAGACCACATTAACCTCACGACCCGCTCGCCTGCGCCTGTCTGGCAGCAGCCTTTGCGGCTCGTGCCCAGCGTTTCATCGGCAAAGAATTGTTGTCTCCTTCTTCGTCGTCGTCCAGAGTCAGGGGAAAGGTATGTGAGTGCCCGCGGCCCCCACAGCTTGGACTTATTCTCGCTCTGTCCTCCTTACACGATGCGCAGTGACACGCAGAACAATTCCCGTTGAAGAGTCCATGTTTCCAGCTTATATTTGTTGTAGAGGTTGGGATGTCTGCGTTGAAAAGATCCTGAAGTGACGAGGCTGATGACGAAATCTCGTCGAACGTGCGATGTGGCTGTTTGGACTGAGCGGGGTCAGTGTATTGTGGGGAGATTGTTTGGTGAGATTGACATACCTGCGCCGCATCTCGACTGCTCACTTCAAGATACTCCGTCCAGTCCTCTCCAGCTCCTGTGCTGAACGTCTCATACCGTACTTTCACATCTGCGCCACGATCTCTTGCATGGCGGTATACTGGTTCCACCATCTCGTACAGATTGCGCTTAATACCGGGTTGGTGCGGGATCCATTCGGGAGCAAAGACGCAAAGTTCCAGCGTAATAGTATGATCAGCATGTTTGAGCGTCGTCAAGCCTTCTAGACGGTCAAGATACATCCCATACGTGGATGCTTCGTCCAGTATTTGATGTTTTGATTCGGCTGCTGTTGGAGTCACCACACCCGGTACGAAGTACTTGGCTTCGTTTATGAAAGCATCGCTACGAATGTATACACGTAGATGGCGGACGAGATAACGGAAGTATACCCCCGGCCGGATCTCGGTATCCAGTAGTTCTCTAACGCATAACGCGTCATTTGAACCGCGGAAGTAGAATGGCGTTGTTCGCAGCGCTAGGTTTTGAATTTCAGTACTGGTTTCTGAACCCATCACAGTGACAGAGAAGTAGAAGTCCTGCACGAATGGGTTGAGGGTGCCACGCGTGACTATCGCATGGTCGCTCGCTTCAGCGTTGCCAGGTTGTAGCTTTCCGTTCGTAAACGGTTTACCGGCAGCTTTCGTTCTCTGGATGATAATCGGCTTGCTGGTGTCAAAGACATGCTCGTAGATATTCTCACGGAGCTCCAAGGGGAGCGACGCGTGGATCTCGCTCAGCAGAGGTGCGATAAGCTGACGGGAGCACTGTTCAATGTCGGCTTTGATTTGACTTGGCCATGTTAACAACCGCTTTTACCATCGCAGACACACAAGACTCACTTCTTGATGGCTCTTTTCCGATTTTGTAAAATTTCGAGCTGTTCCGATCTGATGAATTGGGTTACCCTCTGTTCCGATCTGGCGATGTGAATGACTTTGATTTCATCAGCGATCCTGAGAGGTTAGTGGTAAGCCTTTGAGACAGGCTAAGGTGCATACTGCTCATGAGTCTGCTTGAGCAATCTGCTCTTCCTAGATCAAATCAGCCGTATATCTGGAAATTGCACCAGGTAATTGATTTACTTCAGGATCGTGCGCTGCCATTGCTCGGTGCACTGGTTGGCATCCATATCTTGCTAAACGTCAATCTCCCGCTGTCGGATCTAGAGCGATCGCTAGTTGCAGTAGCGCTGGGTTCGGGAAAACAGAGATGAAGCGTCGAAACTTTCTCGACATCACGATGATACTAGACCGTATACATGTTATGCCTACCTCGTTGCTAGCGCAGAGTACAAAGAGTGGTAATCAGCTCTATGCGCAACGTTACACAGCATGTAGCGTGTTATCTCTTCCAATCGACTGTGTCGACTACCCGAAATCCGGGAGCGGGATGACAAGACTCTTTATGCCAACCTTTGAGTATTAGCAGCGTCGACACGCTCTCATACTATCGAAGCCAGCAAGTACGACCTCCAGGCAACAGGTCGCTACGACGCATAAGCGGTTGAATTGATGCCCTCTTATCTCCTTACGCGTTACAAGGCCAAGCTGACAAAAGATCTGAGAAAGGTTCCGATGATACGAGCCGAAACCACCGTCACGGATGTGACCGGCAATCAAACGATACGCAACAGGGTCGCAGTCACGGACCCTCGATCATGTGCGGACTAAGAGTTGATCGGGGCACGGCACTAGATGTGCGATGTCGAAGTCCGTGTGGGCCGTAGTGTGTATCACCGCGCCATACGCCCACTCATATTCGCATGCGCACGCCTTACACGAAGGGTCTGGAGGGGCCAGGTTTCTCCAGAGGTCTCTGATCATTCCGCTTCGGTTGAAGATATTCTGTGTAGCCAACAGCCTCACCCTGGTAAGGCCAGCACAGCTCCTTGCAGTGCGACGTCAGCGACGTCATGGTCACAGCTAGAGCGAACCTTGGATCACCGCTAGTCGTCCAAGGACCAGGCAGATGCAAATGATCAGTGATGTTGGGGTCGAGAAGCTGAAACAAGCGGAATTCGATGCACGGTGCCGTGGGGTTTCGACATACATGAGGTGTGCCTGGTGCATCAATAAGGCGCAGTGCTTATAGAGTAGTTCGAGGCGGACGTCGTGTCCGGCACAATGGCCCCAAATTAGTGCGGCACCAGGGCTGAGCAAGCAGTCGCGCCGCAAATAGCACGGCCCCAGCGCCAAAACACAACAACCTTGGATGTCTCTGATTGCTCCACAGTGCTATGCCTCACTACAATGCATCCTTGTGATAACGTTTATTGCGCAATGAGGAGCCGTATATGTCCCGGGGGCGTGCGTCACTGGGTTTTCGCCCGCCTGCCCACCCATGCTGTCCTGCCCGCCCACTCGGAGTTGGCCTCCATCTCATCTCACTCAGCTCAGCTTTCGCCGGGCGCTGCATGCATCTTCTGTGCGGAACGCCACGGCCGGGCTATTCATGGAGCTCGGTGGTGTCTAGCAGTGCCTTAGGTTATGATTATCTTGGCTTCGGACGATATACAGTCCCTGCCCTGCCACCATGCCCGAGTCGCGGCTCCGATGGGAGATCCCTTATCCAACTACTCACCCTCAGCAACTCCAGACTGCTACTCGTACATTTTCTGCAGCCTAATACGTCACTAATCGACCCGCTCAAGCCCACCTGCCCATGTTGACACATTGCTCTGAGTGATCAGCCTCACCTGGCGCACTGAAGAGAAGGATGTCAGCGTTACTTAAGCTAAAGCCGAAAAAGTCAGCTACCATCTTACGCGCAGTTCCAGAAAATACTAAAGACGATGCGGCTCTCCCCTCTCACAATCACAACACAGCGACCGAGGGTCGCAGGGACGGCAATGACGGCAACCGACCGTCGTCAGCAGGTTTGACCGTACCGTTGCCTTCAAGATCAACATCTATCTGGGGTAGGAGACGGAAGAGCATTGCTTCGGCAGTGGTCGCAACGGGAGCCAGTAATACTGCAGGTGGACTGTCGGCATCAAGCCACGCATCGCTTGTAGGCACCATCGGCACATATAAGCACGGCAAAATCCAATGGCGAAAGAAGAATCGCAAAACGGTCACTAAGCACAAGAAGAACATTCCGAGCGGGGCCAGACATCCGGCTGCGAAGCCTAAGATACAAGTGGTAATCCCTTGTGGAAAGCCACTGCCCGCTCTTCCATTTCTCGAAACGGGCCCTACCGATCTCGAAAGCCACCACGAGGTCTCGCCTCCGTCAGCAAGCCACCATCGCATGCGAGATTCCATTGTATCTCCACTTGCGCATCCGCAAACACAGCACACAATCCGCCAAACCGCTCCAGTAAATACGCGATACACACCGAACCAACTCAAGAGTAGCTTCGAGTCTAACAGTTCGTGTAACGAGTCGCAAGATAGCGATGCTTCATCACTGCACAGCAACCACTCTTCAGAGACTAGCGTGGAGGTCGATAAATCTCCGACACAAGGAAGCACCTGCCAACCTTCAGCGCATCTTCCGAGTGGCCAGACCCTGGCGCCTAGAGGTACTCTACATGCTCGCTCTGAGCTCACCCTATCTTTCAACGGGAGCCAATCCCATGCACCGCCGTCAATAGCGCCCCGAAAATACGACCACCCGTCCTCTAGCGATGAGAATCTCCCCTTCCAACCAACTTGTGCTCTCCATGTAGCTCAGCGCAAGCCACGGTTGAACCGGAGGTCCTCAAAGCGGAGCGGTCCGCGGCAGAACTTAGCCGCGGATGCAAGTATGGGCATGATCAACGAGGCGAAACCCTCTGGATATGAAGCGTTTCCAATCCCTCCACGTGCGTCCAGCCCTACGTTGAGCGAGGCTGAGTTCGACCTGCACGCTCAACTGGCTTCTTCGTTTGGCAGCAACAGCGATCCTCGCATGCTTGCCCAGGATGGGACACCCCTTGCAGAACGCAACCCTTCCTGGACAGGCATGCGTCAGGCGTCAGCTGGAGACGGGAAGCTTATTGATACTACAGGCCAGCCCCGAAGAGATTTCGCTAATGCTGTACTACCTGATAATCCTCCTCCTGCTGTCCCTCGTAAATCCAGCAGGCGGCGATTGGCAGCCAGGACGACTGTTGAAGTCAACCGTCTATCGCGAGACCATATCGCTTCACAGCTGAAGCGAAAGTCCTTTCGAACGAGCAGAACATTGACACTTATGATTCCGCAATACAAGCGTTCCAGTGTGGATCTGGTGTTCTCACCGCGAGCTGTTTCAACCAAAACCATCAAGCCACCGATTACGTCTGACGGAGCTGAGAAGGTCATACTCAACATCTTCCAACATCTAGATCACTTCAACGATCTTTTCGCCGTGGCCTCCATCAACCGAGGCTTCTATCGCGTGTTCAAACGGCATGAACTCGATCTCATCAAATCTACCTTGCAAAAGATGTCACCACCAGCCTGGGAGTTTAGAGAGATCGCCTTTCCTGGACACGAACTCCTACTTGCAGCAGACCTTGAGACGACACGACCTGCGGAGGAATACACCCCCACGTCGTATCTCAAGCTCCAGAAGCGAGATATCCAAGTCATCCGCACAATCAAGTTAGAGATTATGGAGAAATGCCAGTCCTTCGTACGACCGGAGATATCAGCTGCGCTCATGAGCGCCTGCCCAGCCGAGTCTGCTAGGGTTGACGATGCATTATGGCGCATATGGACATTCTGTAAGCTATTTGGCTCGGGAAAAGGACGTGAGGAGGACATCGTTGCGCAGATGGACTGGCTCAATGGTGGTATGCTTGTCCATCAGGCGACCTGCACCTTCAGCATGATGAGCACAGACCTCATGAGCGACACATTGGTCGGTGCACCTGAGTGCTTCGGGCAAGGGAACGAAGGCGGCCTTACCGCCGAACAACTCTTCGACATGATGGAACTGTGGACCTGTCTTTCCGTCTTGCTACAAAACTTCGAAGGGCGCACAGTTCAAGCCCGACAAGCCGGTATTTACGACAACACCGACATTCGTGGTGGCGATATTGATGGCGAGGAGATGATGCTTGGTTCGTCTATCCGCTGCATAATCATGGATCTTGCTAACCAGACCAGACGAATGGATCTACCACCTCCTCACCTTTGGCCTTGACACTGTTCTCAAGCTCACTGGCCCGTTCCACCCCTCGGATCCCAAAGCCTTTGTTATTGCGGCGGAGAACGGATGGGTCAACTGGAAGCCTCCTGTACTTGACGGTACACGACAATACTTTCTCAAAGAAGCAGCCCGACGCGTCTACGAAGACAAGATTGCGCATACCTATGCTAAAATCTCAATCCGCGATGTGCAGCGCCAACAGTCCAAGATACGTATTCAGAAACACATTGACGAACTCAAGGATCGCAAAAGGAATGGTGAGCAACGGCCAATGGTTCTCAGGGAAAGGCCCATGTCAGACTGGGATACTGTGATTCGAAACTTGACACGCCCTCCTCTACCACCACAAGGCCCGGGAAAGGACATCATCACTCATGTTCCGGCACTGAGATCATCTTCTGTAGAGGACATCTCGGCATCTGTGCCTCTTCCTAGATCGAGGTCGACGTCCAGCAGAACAGCTTCACCACCTCGGCGCACTGTGGCTCAGCCTCTGCTCCCATCACCGCCCCCCTCCACAGTTCCTAGTAACTATGACCGACATAGCATTTCTTCAATCCTAGCACCTATCAGGGAACGGACACCCTCACCGCCACGTCGAACCGTTGCTCAGCCCCTTCTACCATCTCCCTCGGTCACAACAGTCCAGAGCAACCGCGATCTATACACCATGGGCAGCGTATCAAGCGCAAGCTCTCCACCCCGTCGCATGTTCGCTCAGCCGCTTCTGCCGACACCCTCCGCTTCCTCGGTGACAAACAGCCGTGATTGGCATCGCTACAGCACAGGCACATCTATGCCTTCTATCCTCGAGGATCCATTACACCATCCTCTGTCCGAACCACCCGGACCGCCTCACCCCGCATTCCGCCCCCATCCCATGTCAATACCTTACCGTGGCCGCCACATGCGTCAGAGCAGTAGCCAGTCATCTGCCGGAAGCTCCACTCCGAGAAGTGGAGCCCTTCAACAGCACGAACAACAACACCACATATATGGATCTCGGAGTCATGAGAACACGGCCGATAAGGCCATATGGCGGATTGTCGAGATGGGTTTCACAGCCGAGCAGGCCCGAGAGGCGCTAAGGTTAACCGATCTAGGAGACGGATTGAGGGTCGACCGAGCGGTGGAGTTGCTGCTTAGTCGGCAGACATGAACGAGCTGGTGTTTGCAGAGTCGGAAGGATTCCGCTCGAGACAGATAATTTCCTTTTGTGGTAGGCGTTGCGATTTTGTCCTTCATTACAGCGCGTGCAAGATACCCCATCCTTTCGTTCATGCTTCTTATCATCAACAGTCTACAGTCGTTCAATGTATATTTTTGCCTCGCCGTAACGGTCGGCGACCACAACCCACTTTGACATTATCATCTAACGGAATTCAACGGTTGAAGCCGCTGATGAGCTGTGGAAATTACCCGAAAGGGGACGGGACGGTATCCAATTTTAATTTCGCGGCCCCTCGACCCCAACGCTAATTCGGGATGACCCTAGCTCGATGGTTTGCCTTATTCGCATCACGATCAGGCAGTGCAAGGAAAGAAGTGGGAGCTTCGTTCGTGTATTTCCGCTCAGATCGCTCCTCAGACTCTTCTCTTCCCGCTTCTCGCTTCTCTCCACCTTGATTTTCCATCTCGTCGACAGCGACAAAAAAACAACCTTTGCGGAGTACAGTCCGCATACTCGATGCCCGGCATGTTGTCGCAAGCGTCGATATCTGCAACATTTCTCCTCCTCCTAGCGTCGCTCCCGTCCAGCACGCCCACCTGCTTCCTCCCCAACGGCACCGCGCACCAGGACGAAGGAACTTCGCGCTGTTCTTCCATATCTGGCTCCCCGCTCTACAATACATGCTGCCAAACGCAATGGCCGAATCCACCGGGCGGCGATGTTATAAACGGCCCTACAGCGGATGAATGCATGCCGAACGGGCTGTGTCAGAACAGAGGCTTTAGCAGCGCGCCTGGACAAGAAGCTGAGCCGTGGACGCACTTCTACCGGGTTTACTGTGCGAATGCGAACTGGGAGGGTTGCTTGGATGTCTGCAGAGACGGGGTATGTTGCTTTTCCCCGTTTGTGGCTATGCATGTGGCTGGGTGCAGAAGTTTCAGAAAGCTAACAAGCGACTAGAATCTAGCAGACTCCGTCTCACAATTGACGCCTTGCGACGGAACGGCCAAATCAGAGTACTGGTGTTGTGGAGACAGCAACGCGTGCTGTTCGGCCTCCGCTGATGCGCTGGTATCGAAGAGAATCAGGATTCCGAAGGAGCTAGGAGGCGAGCAAGTAGCTTCTGCGAGTGCGGGGCTGGCATCGCCAAGTGCTGGACCGGCTTCCTCACGTGTGGGCACAGCTTCTTCGATCGGGAGCACGATAATTAGGAGTGCAGCACCGGTAGCAACGGGGACGGGGACGGGAACGGGTGAGGAACCCACGCCATCGTCCGACGCAGCAAATCTGTCCGGCCAGAACGAAGAAAAGAAAGATGAGGGCAAATCGAACTCGGGACGCAACATTGGTATCGGCGTAGGTGTCGGCGCTGGAGTTGGAGCTTTGCTGGGTATTGCAGTGACCATCTTACTGCGAAGACGGAAGTCAAAGCAGAAGACTCGGGAGATCGAAAATGAGATTGCGGAAGAGAGGCAGAAGCAGGATTTAGCCAAAGGGTACCACCACGTGGCCGAGATGCCGCATCAGGAACCGGTATGTCGAAATGCTAACGCGGCAAGGGAGGTTGAGCTAACGTTGAGATAGGTGTACGAGCTTCACGATGGGAACAGAGCTGATCTGGAGTTGGATGGGGCGAACAAGGCGCAGTCGTCCATGTATCGTTGATACCGCTGTTAAGCCCCTTCGAGTTGATGTTCTAGCTGGTTACGATGTGACCATCGGGCCAGGTACATACCATTGGGGAAGTAATGAATGCTCATACGGACCCCATATTCTTTCCATTATACCATTCTTGGCACTCTGTCTTCTTGAACGTTGCTTTCACTCCGTCTTCAGTTTCCTACACTGTTCGTCTTCCTTAATAGCTTGCAAGAACGCCAGAGCTGCGACACCGCAAGTTCCTGTCATACTTGAGCCCATGACAAACGCCAGGACAATCGCAAGCCCATACCCTCCCATTGCAGCACTGGTAAGAATGGCAAAAGCGCTACCTGCAGCGATGGGAGCGACGCCTGCCTGAAACGCAGAGGCCATGGAGCCTATTTCATATGTTATAAGTCAGTCCGGAGATATGATGAGTGGTTGATACATACCGGCAGCGATACCGATGGGTGTGAATCCGATAAGGCCCAGCATGGCTGGTGTGACAGCAAGAGCGATGGGGCCCGAAGCAATACAGGCCAGCAACGTGGAAAACTGTTTAGGGTTGGCAAGAACCCATTCTTTGAGCCTCTCGCTGAATCCCGAGAGATCTTCCTTGGTGAACTCAATATTCGGGATAGCCGCCTGACCAATGTCATGGAGGATGTCGCCGCTGCCCAGTTTCTCCCAGAAGTCGCCTGCTGTACTGCCAAGATGCTTCGCCATGTCCTCGCCAAATTGTGCGATGAAGTTCCAGTCGTATCCCTCGTTGATGTATCCGTCTGGGAGTTGCGGTAGGGACTGTAGACCTTGTTTGCCGCTGTTGTAAGCCGCTCGGGCGAGTTCCATAGCATGCTTCGAGGCACTGCTAGCGATAGGCGCAGCATGCTTGCCGGCCTCTTTACTGAGCTTCTCTAGATGGGTTTTGGCGTCTGAGGCGACTGGGCCAGCACGCTTTGCTACCTCTTGGCCGAAGGCGCTACCGTGTGTCCATGCCTTGTCCGCAGCAGATGCTACATGTCGCGCCGCCTCTGGTCCGTAAGTCTCGGCGAGTCTTCGCGCGTCTTCAAGTAGTCCCATCCGAAATGGCGATTTGGCTTATTTGTGGTGTCGCGCACAGTGTTGACAGCGTTGTTGAGTGATAGCAATCATTGTTTGCACTCGCGCGGGATAGGTGTGTGGAGGTGCTGCTGTGTAACACCACGACATGCGGGGTCCACGCATGGAGGCCATTGCCGAAGAGATGACACTCTCAATAACTCGTATCAGTCACAGAAGCCAGAGGTTGTAGCAACCACAAGCTGTATACAGAAGACTGTTTGCACAACATTAATGAAGCTTGGAAGTAGTCACAGAACGACAATGCATTAGTCGCATAAAAGAAGAACCAAAGACGATACCTTGCACACTACGTATCCACAAGGCCAAATCGTACGACAAGTCTCATGAGTATATGGTCCATTCAATCTCCCATTGGCCAAGTTCACCATCGATCGTTATGAAACATTGGGGCGAATCGTGCCCGATGGGGCATGAACGATGCCTAATAAATGTTGTTGGAGGTTCGTGACTGTGGCTCTGTCTTGCTGGTCCATTAACGAAAGCCAACCCAAGGCCAGGGAGCTCTTCTATGATACTGCTGTTATAGATAGAGAGCATCAAGGTATACAATGCGATGCAGTTGCTCGTGGAGGCGATAAGATTAGAGACACGGAAATGACCGACCCGGGTCCACGTTCTAGAAGCTTGGCACGGGCCCGTTGAACAGGACTTGGAACCTGGAGGCGAGCGGACCGATATAGCGTCATCGACAACGGCCTTTAGACGACGGCGTGGACAGTGCAAACGGGGTGCGAGTGTTTGATTGATGTAGGCGCGTCGTGTAGGCGCAGTGGCGCGCTGCTAACAGGAATGTGAGTACCTGGCGTGAGAGGTGCAGGTGATGCAGGGCCACTTAAGCGGGGCGATAGGCTGGACGTCATCCGTGGATTCGTCTGATCGGCCTGGATGATGTGCGGGACAGGGACCGGCAGCGGCCTCGCACCAACCATCGAGACGTGCGCGCCTGTAAGTGCAGGGATGGCTGCCATGTTTGAGGTGCATGTGTGCAGCCTGTGTCGCGCCCAGCCTGCTGAGCTTTGTTGACGTCCCCTTATCCCCTTATAATGTCCGCCGCCGGTATGCCTCGCCTGCCTGCTGCAGGCCGCCACGATGCTGCGCCGACTGCACCACGACATGGTTGACGAGAATGCCGGAAAGCTGCTGCGGAAGGACAGCAAGAGGCAGCGCGTCCTCAAGTTCTTCAGGGCTTTCAAGCAGAAGCAAACACAGCGTCAGGGTGAGGTCGCTGTACCTGTATGTCACCTGCTCCTTCTCTTTGGTGTTATCGTCACGATCCTCGCACGATGATCAAGAAGCTGATAGCAAACTTCCCGACAAAGGCACCACCCAAGCATGATAACGCTGCCCCACAATCAGCCCCTCCACAAACACTCGATGTGATACCCCAAGAGGAACCGAGTGCCGCAGTCGATCATGAGAGCATGGCGCCCGTAGAAGAACTAGAGCCAGATCGCGTACCCACACCACCGCAAGAAACCAAGGAGGACAAATTGGAGACTCTTGGTGAGGGCCAGCTTCGTACGCTCTTCGCCGGGGCCCCGCAGTTTGGCATCGCAAAGACAGGCAGTCGCTACATACCAACCGTCACTCATCCTTGGAACGCCGATGCTGTGCTCAAGGAAGCTACCGATACAGTTCCACTTGCTGAACCCGCCTTCTCAGCCGCGACCCTACACGAACATCCATCTAAGACCCGACAACTACCCGAGACTTCGAAACAGTACAATGGTTATCAGGTGGACGTGGTGGAGATGCCGAGCATGGTCAGTGCCCAGGGTGTCGAACCAGGGACCGTTGGCTTCTCGCATTTCCTCGAGCTACCAAGGTCTGACACGCTGGCCAGCGAGCTGGACCAGTCTCAGTCAAGTCAAGACTCCGCTGAGTCGGCCAGGAATAAGGACGTCATGCAGGCAACTCCTGAGCGACTGGGTATCCGTCCAGTGGACTTGAACTTGATATACGACCGCTTGGCTGAGTTCCAGGACATGTACGAGGCATTCCAAGACAGCCCCGAGCCCATGACAATTCTCAACAACCAAAGCTCTGGAGATCTGTACGCGAATCTGTTCACCAAGTTCCTTACCCCTCCGGGTTACGACGACTCTACTGCGGATCCTACAGGCTTGCAGACACAAATCGTGGCTCTACTCAGGGTGTTGGGACTGAAGGGTGTCTGGTACGACTTCAGCCTTGTCGAATGGAGGATAAGGCTTGGCCAAATACTGTGGAGTGAATCCGAGCCAACATCCGAGCATCATCACCAAACGCTATGGACAGAACGGGAGATATTATTACTGCAGATCACCTTGGCTTGCGAGTTGCTGCTTCGACTGGATGCCTTCACGAATGCAGATGCGACCGACGCTGAGATCCGACTTCGGATTGACGCAAAGGATATCGAAGGGTTTCTCAAGATCAAGACGAGGAAGGTTGACTGGGATTTGGTGCTCGCACGGAGATTTCTCGACAACGTCGTCATTATGAGAGGCAGCGATGCGCCAGTCTCACCCAAACCCAAACTACGTGGACTACTGTCATTGCTAAGCCAAGGTGCTCACGCTCAGATACCGCAGTCGGACCTCATCATACTTCCACAGCATCAATCCAGACAACTTTCAGGGCTTCTTCACTTTGCGAAGACGCTACAGTGGCCTAGCCTTGACGTGGTCTCGGCGGATTTAGCTCGGAAGCTTGGAGAGCAACACAAAATCGAGGAACCCACACCATCATCACCCAGCGGAAGGTTGCTCGACATGGCCACCCCTTCCGGCATCAGTGTCTACGGCACGCCACTGCAAACACCTCTCGCTTCCGGTCAACAGCTGGACAGCTACTTCGGCCACATCGGGAAGCCCGCTCTGAATCGCAACAACTCTCGTGCCTTACGCATGCCACTTTCTCCCGTGTCGACCATCTCGGAAAACGATGCCACGTCCAGCTACAATATCGGAGGGTGGCTGAGTCGGTCTTATCTGACCGGTCTTGTGCTCCCCGGAGAAGCCATCTCACACTTCCTCGTGTCAACCTTGCTTGAGAACGACAGCAACGCTATTGCCAACCTGGGAGAATCAGCAAACTTGTACGGCGGATTCACCTTTGGCGACAGAACCTTTTGGAGCAAGGCTTCCGTTGTTGGGCGTATTCTCGCGTGTGCCAAAGGCTCTACAGAGTGTATGGGCTGGATCTCATGTCCAAAGCTGCCCGACAGCCCTGCTGACCGTTGGTACTCGGTTCACAGCGAAATGCTTCCGCACGAGAACCGGTTGCGACCAAGAGACGGTTCTGATACAGTCGCCGCAGAGTCAGCTATCGCACCAGTCGATTCTCTAGCTTTATTGAGGTCCGAGGACTTTGTTCTTCCCCAGGATCCTGATTCGTACCTGGCTCCCTGCTTGATCTTCTCGCAGTGGGAACTGGTCCCAATTAACACGGATCTTATCGACGGTGACAGCTTGACAGGACCGCCAACCGAAAGTGACATCCATGCCCCGTCGATGACGTTTGTCTCCAGAGGAGATGCAGTGAGCCACACCATCACGTTGACATACGATGTTCAATTTGTCACTTCTTTCCCCTGCACTACAGCTGCGTCTGCGCCTCCCTCGTTCACGCATCGCCCTAAGGTTCTGAGGCGCTCTGGCACTGGAACAATTTCGAGATCCTCTTCAAAACACAGCGTAACTCTTTCACGCCGCAACAGCCACGGCTTTGAGCCGCTCCTATCGCATCCACCGGATGCCGCAGACATCGCGCCAAAGCGGATGTACGAAGCATCTTCCGGACCAGAAGTCGAGACACTTGCGACCAGTAGCAAGCCCATGAACGCGCATCCTCTACACCAGTCGTACTCCTACAAGATCGTGCCAACCACCGATATTCTGGATCCTGACTTTTTACTGCCGTTCGAGCTTCACACGTCCAAGTCTACAGAGCGCCTACTTGATTTGTCGCGGAGCAACGACAGCGAGACAGCGGAGACAATCAAGAATAACAAGAAGGCTGTGTTGGTACTAGATGCCAGAGCTTCGTCTGATCTTCAGTTGCTCGCACGAGCCTGGTGTGCGGAAAAGGGCCTTCATGCGATCGTGAGTCGTGTAGGAAGGACCTGCTTGGGTTGCTCCATTCGCGAGGCCAGAGGTTTAGGCATCCACATTGTGATCAGAGTATAGGCTGTCGCGTGACTACTTGGTCACTTATGCCAGCATTGGAGTTTTTGCTACATTTCTCAAATTGTCACATTGTCTTCCGGGCAGGGAGTTGGGGGTTTAGTTTTGCTACAGGCCATTATTGCGGGCGCGCATACAAGATACCCACATTGCGAATGAATACTACTGTTACTCTACATTCACCATGTCCCATGATGCGTTGCCACATCCTTTACTTGTTTGAGGTTCGCGTGAGACGAAAATAACGTGTACCCACTTTCTGCGCGTGTTCGCAATCAGCCACCGCATTCACTCCTAGACCGCAGGTCTCGTATTTCGATGATAACGGTGCGATTGCAGAGGCTGTGTTTTCCTGCCCTGATTTCACTTAGCAAGATCGGTGGCGCTCACAGCCACGTGCTGCTAGCCGAGGGGGGGGGGGGGGGGGGGGGGGGGGGGGGGGCGGGGGGGGGGGGGGGGGGGGGGGGGGGGGGGGGGGGGGGGGGGGGGGGTCC